CAAATAAATGCAGGCTTGGTGAGCAGAAGAGACTTCTTTATAAAACATTAAAAATCTTACTGTTCAAAAACTGTTGATTGGTTTAGATTACAGAAATGTTATATTGTAATGTTATATATACACAGTCCGAGTAATTCTGATGTTTTTATGGTTACACCACATTGACATTTTTGCAATCATCCCCCAAATATTCTCTTAAAATGAATTAAAGCCAGAAATTGGTTGCTCCACAAAAAAGAGAATGTAAGCAATTAATTTGCACATTTATTTAGAAATGTTAACCCTTTTAAATTTAATGAAACCATATGGACACAAAAAAATTAGCGTCACGTCATTGACCCATATATTCATTGTGTTATAACAGAGCTTTGTGAGATCACGATGAACTGAGATGTCAGCTTTTTAGAGATTATAAAGGGAGTGCTCTTTGCTGGCATTCTGCCATGCCAAACCATGCACGCAGCAGCCTATGCTTAGTTAAAAATAACAGTGGTTTGTGAATGTTGATGCTTTAATAAATGTTTTATCGGGAGCGTTTATGCTGGGATGTTGTGGCTAGGCGACACAAAACTTACTATTTCATGGATACAGGAAAAAAGTCATGTAACTAGTAATGTACCTAATAACGTTTAAAATAAAATAGTCAGAACAGTAACTTGATTACTTTTAAAAAGAGTAATCAGTAATCTACATTTCCAGAGTAACTTGCACAACACTGATAATACATATGTTGATTTGTTAAAAAAAAAAATTTGTCTTTCACAGGTAAACTGAAGTCTAAAAATTTCCATCCTCAACTGCACTTATGGGTGAGTACTGAATTCTGTCTTAAATAATAAATTTAAAAGGTCTGATATATTACCGTTGGCTAATCTTAGTGTTAATGTGTTGTGTGTCATTTTAGCACAAAACAACCAAACAGATCACCTCCGGATTTTGCTGCTGGGTAAAACTGGATCAGGAAAGAGTTCAGCTGGAAACACTATACTGGGAAGAAGGGCTTTTGGGGTGGCATTTTCCGCTGCGTCTGCAACCAGCAAAAGTAATTCACATGATGTGACACTGGGTGGCCAGAAAATCACTGTGATTGACACACCGGGACTCTATGACACATCAATGAAAATAGAACAGCTTAAACACGAAATAGAGAAATTATTCAATCATTCTGGTGACGGGATTCATGCAATTCTGTTGGTGATCAAACTGGGAGCTAAATTCACAGAGGAAGAAAGGAATACTGTGCAGTGGATCAAGGAAAACTTTGGTGAAGATGTTTCAAAAAACACCATTGTGTTATTTACAAATGGAGATGAATTAGAGCATAGTGGCATGACAATTGAAGACTATATAAATGAAGGGGGAAAGCTGAGGGGTTTAGTTGAGCAGTGCAATGGAAGATATCAGGTTTTTAATAACAGAGCTGAAGATCAGACACAGGTCACTGAGCTTCTGAGAAAGATTAGGGAAATGATACAGGAGAATAACAATAACCTTTACACTAAAGAGAAATATCAGGAATTTCAAAGGAAATTGAAGATAGCAAAGTTTGCAGGAGTTCTTACAGCAGGGGTAATTGGAGCAGGAGCTGCAGGAGGAACAGCTGCAGTAGCAGGTGCTGCTACTGCTACAGTAGTTGCAGCTACATTGACTGGTGGTGTTAGTTTAGCTGTAGCTGCTGGAGCTGCTGGAGCTGGAGTAGCGATATATAAGTGTGCAAAACGTTCAACTAAAAATAACAATTAAAGGTTTGAAATTAAGTCATTTTGTGTATAATTTTAAATGTGGTTTGTCATCGGTAGTATGCCACATGACTGGAAAATTTATTTTAAAAGTGTTTATCTACTGCTATTTTTCCAAGATAATGATTTTTCATCTACTAAAAATTGTAATATTGCTTTATGAGTCTAATCATTACACAGTATAGTGTAAGCCACAATAGGCTATACACTTAAACTGGTTCATGGGGAGGCCTTGAATAGGTTACTCACAATGTTGTAATTGATTCTGACTTCTTAAAAATAATCTACAAATCTATATAATATTATGGTACATTTGTATTTGTAGGGTAAGCTGAGTGCTTGTGAATTCTGTTTTACATAAATTGTATACAGGTGCATCTCAATAAATTAGAAAGTCATGGAAAAGTTCATTTATTTCAGTAATTGAACTCAAATTGTGAAACTCATGTATTAAATAAATTCAATGCACACAGACTGAAGTAGTTAAAGTCTTTGGTTCTTTTAATTGTGATGATTTTGGCTCACATTTAACAAAAACCCACCAATTCACTATCTCAACAAATTAGAATATGGTGACATGCCAATCAGCTAATCAACTCAAAACACCTGCAAAGGTTTCCTGAGCCTCCAAAATGGTCTCTCAGTTTGGTTCACAAGGCTACACAATCATGGGGAAGACTGCTGATCTAACAGTTGTCCAGAAGACAATCATTGACAACCTTCACAAGGAGGGTAAGCCACAAACATTAATTGCCAAAGAAGCTGGCTGTTCACAAAGTGCTGTATCCAAGCATGTTAACAGAAAGTTGAGTGGAAGGAAAAAGTGTGGAAGAAAAAGATGCACAACCAACCGAGAGAACCGCAGCCTTATGAGGATTGTCAAGCAAAATCAATTCAAGAATTTGAGTGAACTTCACAAGGAATGAACTGAGGCTGGGGTCAAGGCATCAAGAGCCACCAAACACAGACGTGTCAAGGAATTTGGCCACAGTTGTCGTATTCCTCTTGTTAAGCCACCCCTGAACCACAGACAACGTCAGAGGCGTCTTACCTGGGCTAAGGAGAAGAAGAACTGGACTGTTGCCCAGTGGTCCAAAGTCCTCTTTTCAGATGAGAGCAAGTTTTGTATTTCATTTGGAAACCAAGGTCCTAGAGTCTGGAGGAAGGGTGGAGAAGCTCATAGCCCAAGTTGCTTGAAGTCCAGTGTTAAGTTTCCACAGTCTGTGATGATTTGGGGTGCAATGCCATCTGCTGGTGTTGGTCCATTGTGTTTTTTGAAAACCAACATCACTGCACCCGTTTACCAAGAAATTTGGGAGCACTTCATGCTTCCTTCTGCTGACCAGCTTTTTGAAGATGCTGATTTCATTTTCCAGCAGGATTTGGCACCTGCCCACACTGCCAAAAGCACCAAAAGTTGGTTAAATGACCATGGTGTTGGTGTGCTTGACTGGCCAGCAAACTCACCAGACCTGAACCCCATAGAGAATCTATGGGCTATTGTCAAGAGGAAAATGAGAAACAAGAGACCAAAAAAATGCAGATGAGCTGAAGGCCACTGTCAAAGAAACCTGGGCTTCCATACCACCTCAGCAGTGCCACAAACTGATCACCTCCATGCCACGCCGAACTGAGGCAGTAATTAAAGCAAAAGGAGCCCCTACCAAGTATTGAGTACATGTACAGTAAATGAACATACTTTCCAGAAGGCCAACAATTCACTAAAAAAATTTTTTTATTGGTCTTATGAAGTATTCAAATTTGTTGAGATAGTGAATTGGTGGGGTTTTGTTAAATGTGAGCCAAAATCATCACAATTAAAAGAACCAAAGACTTAAACTACTTCAATCTGTGTGCATTGAATTTATTTAATAAACGAGTTTCACAATTTGAGTTGAATTACTGAAATAAATGAACTTTTCCACGACATTCTAATTTATTGAGATGCACCTGTATAGGCTATATAGTCTATCATATACCTGAAGCAGTTCTATAAACGCACATGCATTTATTATTCAAAATGTAAACAAGTTGCTGTGTATCATAAACATATTTAATAAGCGTAACTGGAATCAGAGACGCACAGCCTATGGGGATTCCCTGTGTGAATTAGAGGCATTATAGTGACAGCTAGGGGGATGTGCAGAAATGTGTGGATAGACGCGCGCGCCCGCGCGCACACACACACACACACACACACACACACACATATATATATATATATATATATATA